AACACTTCTTTTTAAGTGAAAAGAAAGTATTTTTAGATCGAGATTCCAGAACTGTTCAGTGTGAGCCTTGGGAGGACTGTAATTATCTGGAGCAGGGTCAGCAGCGTCTCTGGCAAAGGCCAGACAGTCCGTGCTTCAGGCTCCGGGGGCCATTCGGTCCCTGCAGCAACCATACGCTCCTACCCAGGGGGCAAGTGCCCACAGACGGATGGAAGTCCAGTCAGCTGTGCTCGTGGGCACTAACCTTTGAATGTTGTACTCTTTTCAAGTGTCACAAATATTAGTGTCTTCTGTGGAATTTTCCCCAGCCACTTAAAGCTGTAAAAAACATTCTTAGCTCATGGGCCATACTAAAACAGGCTGGCTTTGGCCAAGAGCCACGGTTTGCCAAGCCTTGCCCTGGAGCGCCCAGTGCCTGTATGGCATTAGAATCTAGCAGCCACCAGGTAAGGCAAGAAGCTAGGAGACTGTGGCCCTGGTCAGTGTGGCTAGATGGTTAGAGCATCGGCCCATGAACTGAAGGGTTGCGGGTTCGATTCCCAGTCAAGGGCACGTACCAGGGTTGCAGGTTTGATCCCCAGTCCCAGTCAGGGTGCGTATGAGAGGCAACCAATCGATGTTTCTCTCTCTCTCTCTCCTCCTTCCTCCCTCCCTTCCACCCGCTCTAAAAGAAACAAAATCAGTGGAAAAAATATCCTCAGGTGAGGATTAACAACAACATCTAAGTAGCTCGGAGTTTGTGGACATTATCTCATTGGAATCCGAACAACCACATGAAGTAACACTATTATTACTCTCCCCATTCGCCAAATGAGGAAACGAACATGGGTGAGCAAGTTCCTTCGTCTAGGCAACCGCTTACTGAATGGCGGAGGCAGGACTGAATTGAACCCTGACCCAAAGCCCATACATGGCCTCCACCCTGGAGGTTGACAGGAGGGAGACGTTCAACAGGGAGAAAAATGAACGACTGCACGAGCCATTATAGAGTCACCTTGTCCATCCCGACCCCTAAGGCAGCGGTTCTCAACCTGTGGGTCGCGACCCCTAGGGGGGTCGAAGGACCCTTTCACAGGGGTCGCCTAAGACCATCGGAAAACACGTCTATAATGACATATTGTTTTTGTGATTAATCACTATGCTTTAATTATCTTCAATTTGTAACAATGAAAATACATCCTGCATATCAGATATTTACATGACGATTCATAAAGGTAGCAAAATTACAGTTATGAAGTAGCAACGACAATAATTTTATGGCTGGGGGTCACCACAACATGAGGAACCTGTATTAAAGGGTCCCGTCACTAGGAAGGTTGAGAACCGCTGCCCTAAGGGAAGACGTTAATGTTGGGGGTGGGGCGGAAGCACAGGGAGAGACCACCGTGCATCACTCACTGTCCCCTCCAGAGTCCCGGCCAGGTGTCTCTGAGACCAGGTGTCCTGTCTCACCGGGGCCACTCGTGTGAGCAGAGAGCATCAAGACCCTTTTCGGTTCAAAGCCAAACCGCATCCCTCCTCGCCGCCTGATTCCTCCTCCGCTGCAGATGGAGCCACCATGGAGGCTGCAGGAGCAGATGGGCGCTCCTTCCACAGGAGGGCTGGCTGAGATGGGCCGCCGCTCTCCTCTTCCCGATTTGCGGCTGCGCCCGTGGGCAGCTCCTGCCGGCCCGGCCACTGGTGTGTCCTGATCCTGGGTGTGAGCCCCTCTACCTCAGTGGTTCTCAACCTTCCTAATGCCGCGACCCTTTCATACAGTTCCTCATGTTGTGGTGACCCCCAATTTCATTGTTACAAATTGAACATAATGAAAGCATAGTGATGAATCACAGAAACAATATGTGATTATTTATGAGTTTTCCGATGGTCTTAGGCGACCCCTGTGAAAGGGTCGTTGGACCCCCAGAGGGGTCGCGACCCACAGGTTGAGAACCGCTGCTCTACCTGACTGACGTGAGCCCAGCCTTGGAGTGGGTTCTGCGTGTGTGTCCACAGCCGTGGGGACCAGAACACGACAAGACTGACTACCCTTGTCTGCTCCCACCCCCTGGAGATGGGAAAGTGCCCACTCAGCAGCTCATGCCAGGAGGACAAAGGTGAAGGGTCCGGGGTGGGGAGCGCAGGGGTTGTGGCGGGACACGGGGCTAGGGAAGAGAAATGGGACTCGTTCCCAAAGGGATCGTGAAGTTAATCAGGTGAGTCTGGACCCAGGCCAGCCACTCCCTCATGGACAACAGAGCAGAACAGGGACTGCAATTAATTAAGTGCTGGGGGAGGGGGGGCGTCTTACCCCAGGGAAAGGAGGCCTGCCTGAGCCCTCAGAGGAGGAGGCTGAAGGTTTCCAGCTCCCAGTGCCTGCCTCATTCACCCTGGAAGCTAGAGGGTAGAGTCCCCACAGCACAGATTCCTGGTTTCCTCTCGCAGGTTTCCCTCCAACCTGTATCCCCCCCCCCCCTTGTTCCCTTATGCAGAGCCTCCCTCCCCAACCTGGAGGAGCAGGAAAGAGACTAAGAGCCTGGCCTGACGGGATTCGGAAAGCCGGCCTCGGTCTCTCTCTGCCCCAGAGCAGGCGCGGCGCCGTGACTAGGAAATCCCTCTCCAAATAACCAACAGCGGTCCGTACAGCTACGGGTTGCTTAGCAGCTCCTGTGTGCCAGGAACTGTGTTCCTTCACTCCCTTCGCACAGCAACCCTCCCGATCAACACCCCCATTTCCCAGATGAGGCAGCCGAGGCTGGGGGAAGCTCAGGCGTTTGCTGGGGAGAGGAGTCACACAGCTGGTGTGTGCTGGAGCTGGGCTCCATCCAGCCCCTCCCTTCAGGCTTCAAACTGGAAAAGGAAAGAAGGGATCAGGGGAGAGAGAGAGATGGAGATGCTGGACAAAAGTCCAAATGGGGCATCCCAGGGAAAGGAGAGGCAAGCTTGGGGCAGGAGCTGGGAGGACCCAAGCCAAGCTCCGCCCAGCAGCCTGGAGCCCGTGTGCCTGGGCACAAGAAGGAACAGGTGGGCAGAGGACAGAGTCTGGCTTAGAGAAAACAAATGCAGCTATGAAGGCAGCGCCATCTCCCAGAGGCCCCGGGGCAGGGAGGGGGCTTTCCAAGGTGGGCAGCCGAGCCCATGAGATCCCAGACCAGGAACCTACTCGTTCCTCAGATCTGGTGCCCTCTCTCCTGCGCCCCACGGAGAGGCTGGCTCTGCCTGGCACAGGACACACGGGAGTCTCTTACTGGAGCGCCACCCCCATCCTTCCTTCTCCTGAGGCTGAGGTGGAGCCAGGGAGCTCCAGGTGGGCTGGGATCTCCTCTGATGGGGCAGAGGCTGAGCAGGGAGCCGGGGTCCCCTGGAAGTGGGCTGGGTCCCACCTCTGCGAGGTTGGGAAAGTTGGTTTCTCAGAGCAGCTGTGTCCTCCCCTGTCATGTGGGGGTGATAACACCTCCTCATAAAGCTGTGTGACACACTGCTTGGCACCGAGTAGATACTCAGTAAATGGTAGCCACTAGGGTAACGCACTGAAGCCTGCTCTAGCTCTGGAAACCCAGTAAGTTTGGGGAGTATGAAGGCGGGGAGACTCCCAGGGACCTAATGGGCAGTGTGGTGGCAGGGGTGGGGGGAGGTCAGCCACCCTGGCTCATCAGCCACACAGGAGGTGGCCGGGGCAGGGCCATCCTAGACAGTAGCTTTGCTGTGGCAGGGTGACCCTCTCCAGCCGGCCTTCAGGATGCAGACCTGAAGCCCAGGAGCCCATGTTGCCTCACTTCCCCCCAACCCTAAGCCACTGTGGTCTCAGCCCCCTGCCAAGGCCAAGCTCAAGGCCGGGGACCTGAGAGGACCAGGCAACCCTGTTGGCCAGACTCCCCAGGCGTCTTCGAGGATGTGGCCCCCTCAGGCCAGTGTGCAGGACTGTGCTGCGCGCCCAGCCCCCGTGGAAAGGGCCACACGAACATGCCGCTCTCACAGGACGCTGACGCAGGAGGGCCACGCCAGTGGTGTCCGTGAGTCACCAGGGCCCAGGCCACAGTTGGGCAACGGCTGAGAGCTGGGCTGGGGGTGGGGATCGGGTGCTCAGAACTGACCTCCACTCCTTGCTGCCCCAACTCCCACCCCTGCGGCAGGAAGGGGCTCAGAGAGAATCAGAAAGAGGCCAGTGGTGCCTGGCGGGATGGTGACCCCATCGCACAGAAAATCAGTCTCAACAGTCACTCCCACCGCAGGCCTGCGTCCTCGTCCTCCGCACAGGCATTTCCCACGCCTGATCCTGTCCCCCGCACAGCACAGCCCGCCAGCCCCATCCCTGAGCCCAGCAGGCCGCCCACCCTTCCCCATGGCTCTTAACCCTTCGCCAGGGGCTACCACGCAGGGGGCCGCTGCCCCCCTGGGCTCGTGGGTGGGAAGACAGAGGAGGCGGCAATCCCCCGAGGCCGCACTCACCCCTCCCACCACCTCCAGCGCTGGAACATGCAGAGCCTCCCGCGTCCTTCCACCTTCACCCCGGGCCGCGTCTCGCCCCCAGCTGCGCTCTAGAAAGTTCCCGGGAGCCCCGAAAGCCCTTGGGGCAGCGATCTGGCCCCACACTCGCCGGTTCCCTCCTCCCCGGAGACGCCTGACCCTTGCCCTCCCCAGAAGAAAGGGCACTTGGAGAGCGCCAGGTTCGCCGCTGAGTGGAAAACTTTGCTTGCCGGGGTTCAGACCAAGCTCGGGGCCCCAGGGAGTCCCGATGCAGACTCCGGGGTGGTTGGGGGTGGGGGGGTACTGAGAATGCAAAATCGCCCTCCTTCCTGAGCACCTGGGACTTGAGACTGGCATCTGCGGGGCATCGCCCGCCACCCCCAGCACGCCTCGCGACCCCCATCTACCACGCCGCTCCCCCAGGCTCCCCCACCCCTCGCCCCAGCACAGGCAGCGGCGCCTTTAAGAGCTGCCCAGCTCACCTTTTGCTCCGTTTCGCCGGCGCCACGGTGCCCCCCACGCCCCTCCTTCCCGGCCCCGCCGGCGGGACTCACCGCGCGTCCTGGGGCCCCGGGGATGGGCGCTGCGCCCCGCGCCCGGTCGGGGTCCCTGCCCCGGCTCCGAGGTGCTGGCCCTGCTCCCGAAAGGTGAGCGGCTCCCCGAGCGGCTGCAACCTGAGCTGGATGGGAGGGTGGAGGGGAGGGGCAGGGAGGAGTGAGGAAGGTGGGGAAGAGGAGGGGGAGGAGGAGGAGGAGGAGGAGGAAGGGAAAGCCCGGCCCCGCTGGAGTTTTTCACGTGTACAAGTTGACTCCTCCCCGTCCCTCCCGGGCTGCACAGCAGCTGCCAATCTCCGCGGCTCCCTCTGCCCGGGCGCCCACCCCTTTTGCCCACTCTGGGCACCCTGTCCGAGCACCTCTTCCGGTTTGGGTCCCAGGCCTGGGCGCTGCTGGCTCTCCCCCGGGGCTGGCCCCCTCCCCCAGGGCTGGCCGGGAGAGCCTGGACTAAGGGGTGAGACCGTCTGGGCTGGAGCACCCAGGACGGGGCCAGGGCCCTGGGTGATGTGCTGCAGGCCCTGCCTCTAAAGGCAGCTCTCCCTCCTTCTGAGCCCGACCCTGCTCCCAGCACCTGGTCAGGAGCGAATGTGCACAGACAGGTCCAGTCGGTCAGTCTGGCTTTTAGAGTTCTTGACAACAGTCGCCCTGGGGCCCTTCCTCTGCCCTGTCCAGTGGGACTTGTCACTCACCTTTAGGGACAAAGCTCCCACCTGGTCGGCCCCCATGCTCTAGGGCAGCGGTTCTCAACCTGTGGTCGCGACCCCTTTGGCGGTCGAACGACCCTTTCACAGGGGTCGCCTAAGACCATCCTGCATATCAGATATTTACATTACTATTCATAACAGGAGCAACATTACAGTTATGAAGTAGCCACGAAAGTAATTTTATGGTTGGCTCACAACATGAGGAACTGTATTTAAAGGGCCAGAAGGTTGAGAACCACTGCTCTAGGGCCTGAAGGAGCCCTGCCAATAGCCGTCACCCCCACTTCCTACCCCGGAGGCTCTTTCAGTTTGTCCTTCCAGAATTAAACCCTGCAGGTCCACTGAGAAGCGTCCAGTACTTACAGACTAGCTGGGGCTGGTCCAGCTTTAATTTTACAGACGGGGAAACGGAGGCCCAGGAAGGGGGTTGAACTGGCCCCAAGCCCCACAAGGAGTTAGTGACGAGCCACGGACCTCGGCCGATGGCCACTCTACCCGCACATCCGACTTCAGGGATCAAAGGAAGACTGAGATGGGGTGACAGGCCAACTGGCCCCCTCGGGGCCCTCCCAGCCCTGCTTCCTCCTGAGGGCTGTGAGGAGAGGGGGTGGCACCTCAGATCTGATGGGCACCAATTCAAGGTCTGTGTCCTCTGCCCTGCCGGTGGGCATGGCCTCTTTGGTTTGGGGGTCCTGGCGAGGGCGTGGGGGAAGTCTCTGGAGGAGAACCCTTTCCCAGGATTGATCTGAAGTGACCCCGCCCCTTAGGTCCTAGGCTTTGAGCAGGGCCTTTCCCTGGGGAGGAGTTGTTGAGATTAGAACAATTTCCTGTCCAGAAGACAGGGCCTGCGGTCTCACCCTCGGGCCAGCCATCTGCCCTCCAACAGCAGCGGGCAGCACAAGGCCTCTCTAGACTCCAGGGGGTGGGTGTGGCCGGAGGAAGGAAGCAGCTGGGCTCTGCAGGAGGGTGCCCTGCGGGTAGTCCACAGGGGCAACCGCACAGGGGCTCCCAACTCTTCACCACCTCTGCTTGCTCTGCCAGGGCAGGTAGATTTCCTGGGCACACACACTTTATAAAAATAAAACTGCGGAGCCTTAGCTGGTTTGGCTCAGTGATTAGAGCATCGGCCCACGGACTGAAGGGTCTCAGGTTTGATTCTGGTCCAGGGCACATACCTGGGTTGCAGGCTGGATCCCAGGCCCTGGTCCGGGCCCGTGTGGGAGGCAACCAACCAATCGATGTGTCTCTCTCACATCGATGTTTCTTTCTCTTTCTCTCCCCCTTCTTTCCACTTCCTCCAAAAATCAATGGAAAAAATATCCTCGGGTGAGGATTAACAAAAAAAATAAATACAATTCTTTTTTTTAAAAAAAAACTGCTGAGTATGAAGTGGTGTGAAGAGGGGTGGATCTGGAACCTCTAGGCTTTGGGGAGAGGAAGCAACCTACCTGGTTCTCTAATCCACGTCTGTGATAAGAAGACTGGGGGACAAGGAGGCCAGGCAGAGGCAGGAAAGGGCAGAGAGAGGGGCTGTGGAAAAGGAACTGTGTTTTAGGGGATTAGAGGGAATGGGGCCAAAGATAGAGCCAGGAGGATGGATGAGGTGAACAAGTTTCCACAAACCGTTTCTGAACATCTCTTATCTGCCAAATGATAGAGAAGTCTCTGGGTACCAAAGATGAGTGAAAGGCAGTCCCTGCTCTCAGGGAGCTCACAATCTAATGGGGCCGGTAAGTAAACAGTTCTGATGCTGCAGGACCCAGCTTTGAGCTGCGTCTGCCTGGCGGGGTCATTCGCTGCTTGAGTTGAGGCCTATGGGACCAGAGGACCCTGGAGAGGGGGAAGGGTTTTCCGTTTGTTTGTTTTTCCAGCAGGTCTCACACCGCCTGCAAAGTGTACGGGCAAGAGAATGTCCCCCACAGCTCTGTGAGGCAAGAGCTGAGAATCAGTAGGGCTGGAGGTGATGCCATAAAGGGAGGCAGACGCTGGTTTTTGAAGACCCTCCTAGTACATCGAGGCTAAGAGCCAGGACCCTGCCTGAGAACACACGGCAACATGGAGCGTTTCCGAAAAAAGAGATGTCACCAGTCGGTGATTGAGGGCGAGCTCTCCGGCAGCCAAGGGGAGGATTGATGGTGAGGGCAAATCTGGAGAGGAGAACCCCAATTTCGAGGTGAATCTGGTGAAAAATCAATTCTAGGCGTAGATTAGAGCCGTGGCCGGAAGGAGGAGAGGAGGGAACGTGCATTAGAGACAGTTAGGAGACAGGCTCACAGAACTTTGTGCCTGTTTGAGTCTAGGGCAGTGGTTCTCAACCTTCTGGCCCTTTAAATACAGTTTCTCATGTTGTGACCCCCAACCATAAATTTATTTTCATTGCTACTTCATAACTGTAATGTTGCTACTGTTATGAATCGTCATGTAAATATCTGATATGCAGGATGGTCTCAGGCGACTCCTGTGAAAGGGTGGTTGACCCCCAAAGGGGTCGCGACCCACAGGTTGAGAACCGCTGGTCTAGAAGCCAAGGGAGAGTGTCAAGGTTGGACCCATTGGTATGACAGGCCAGGCTGGGAGCCTCGTCGGGATGCCCTGAGTCCCAGAACTTCCTAGTACTGGCTGTGTGGCCTTGGGCAGGTGACTTAGCCTTTCTGAGCCTAGTTTTGCCATTTGTAAAACAAAGTTACTAAAATTGATCTTGTACCTTAAGAGTAATGCACACCAAAGCATAGGGCTTGGCTCATCATAGAAACTCAATAAAATAAAATAAAAATAGATGCAATTACCATTGTTTGCCCATTCAACAAACATTCATTGAGCACCTGCTATATGTGCCGGACCCCTGAGATACAGGGATGATTTTAAGTCTCATCCCCTGTTCTCAAGCAGGTCACCATCCTGAGGGAGATGGACAGTCACATAGCAAGGCTTGGGCAGAGGAAGAATGCCAAGAAAATCAGGGGCAATTTCCCAGAGGAAAGGTGACAGCTTCAACAACATAAGGCCAACCACCTGCTCAGGGACAGTCGCTTCCTCCCCCGCCCCTGGCATGGGATGGTGTTTCAGAATCTCTGAGATCTTCTGTTTTCAAGGCATTATCTCGCTCCTTGGGGCCGGGGTAAGAGGATGGCAGCAGATGGGTGTCTATAAGGAGCCCATAGAATGGCAGGCGAGACGTTGGCAGCCCCAGGGAAGGTGTATGAACAGATGGGCAGGTAGAAAGGGCACCAGGTAAGGGAGACTCTGGGCAGGTGGGCAGAGCCGACTGGCTGGATAGGGAGCCCCTGCGTGCGAACTGTCAGCCATCCTGGTTTGTCTGTGCCCTGTCTGTGCCCTTCTAAAAATTCCCTCTGAACCCCTTGGTGTCCTTGCCCTCCTCCCATGCCGTCGCCCCACCCCCACCCCCATACTTCTGTCAACAAGCTCACTCAGTAGCTGCAGCTCAACCTGGGTCTCCCACTCAGGAGGGACTCCTGTCCTGCTGCCCCACCGAGCAGACCTTGCCACTTTAAAACCACGTTAAAGCCACGTAGACCGCGTGACCCGGACCAG